CAACATTGGAGGCTGCTATAGTGTAATATATATAATATATGCACACACGTTGCCTGGAGAGAAAAGAAGGCAGAAGAATAATTCATTGGTGGTTGCTTTTGTTATAACCAGAATACAAGGCGCAGAGAAAGGAGATAGATTCGGTCGTTGAATTATTTTTCTTTGTAATACTTTGGGGATTAGGTTGGTAAGTGAAATTCTATATGATTGTAACAATTTTTCATATAGTGAAAAAGCTATGACAGTCCGTTTAATTTGTGCGTTATATTATTTATTTTTCTTATTTGCTAATATTCTTCTGAACAACAAAAGATCCTGCGGGTTAATTGAAGTAAAGGAAATTGGTGAAATTTCCCAACAATTCTAATGGCGGTGAACTGTGGCAATGCGTGAACGGAAGATGCCATGAGGCTATGGAGGGGATGTAGAATAAAGATGTGAAGTGTGATGCAGCGGCTTATGATACACTTATTGATGGCGTGGGATTGGGAGGGCCGAAGAGATTTATACAGACATGCTAATGAGTGTGTGGAGAGTACTTGTATTACTTTGAGAATCTCACAAATGGATATTGTAAGAATGAGGATGCTGATTCTGCAATGTTGTTGTACAAGGACATTTGCAAGGACGGTATTGATCCAGATAGTTATTACAGTGATTTGCGATAAGGGCAGCTATTCTACTGCTATGGATGCTTTGATGGTTCTATCAAGGAAACATGATGTTGTTCCGAAGAAGGAGAGTTATCAATTCTGATAAAATGGTTCTGTCAGGAGGGGAAGATGGAAGATGCTTTAAGGCTTCAGGCAGAGATGGTAGGGAAAAGGTACCAATCAGATTCGGAGACATACGGCGCTTTTATTGATGGGCATTTGAAACGTGGTAATGAAACAATGGCTGGTAAATTGAGGAAAGAAATGCTCAACAAGTAAATTTCCTGGGAGGAGAAATTGATATGATATTCTTCCACTTTACATAATTTGCAGCACTTTTGAGCAGTCATTTTGCCACGAAGTGCAAGCTTCTTGTTGAAGCAAGTTATCTTGGTCCAAATTATTTTTCTGGATGAACAACCGCACAGGTGATTATTTGCAGTTGGAATATTTTATAGACCGATGTGAATTGGATTTAAATTAATGTACAAAATCGATAATATGATTATTGAAGAGGTCAAAATGTTATCAGCTTTTTATCTATCGTATTTTGTGAATGCTAGATGCATGCATGAATGTCCGGCAAATTGTTGATTCAATGTATATTCTAGATTCTCGAAACCAAGCCAACTTTCGTGCCACTTTATGATAACGAGACGAATGAGAAAAAAACATTAACTCCAATTCTGTTAAAAAGACTCAGGTTACTTGTATGCCACAGTCACAGAGACCTCTAACATGTCACCTTTCAATATTTTTTGAACCCCACTCAACTCGATGAACCTGAAAAAGGTAATTTCTGAATTATTCTGTTCGGCACTTTTTATCGATTCACTTGTAATGTATATATTTTAAGGTTTATGTTGGTTCATAAAATAATTTAGTACAATTCTAGCCATCATTCCTTTACTTCCATAGCTGGTTATGGAACCGCTTGAGGGTACGCATCCAAACTGTTCATTAAGCTACCTATACTTTTGTTTCTTTTTTTTTTTTTAGCTAAATATACCATTAACAGTATGTGGGTATTTGTGAAGCCTAAAGTGCCTGCTTGTACATAATAATTAAACCCCTTGTCGAGAAATTCTTTGTGATTTAATACGGCACTACAATCTCTACCAGCTATGTGGTCAAATTATTTTCATGGTTCATTAATTTGATAGTTGCCCCTGCACTAACGCTTCTCCTTCTGGATGTTAGGGGCATGTTCAGTTTTTTTTTTCCTACTATCAACTAATTCGTGATACTTCTGGTTAAGTCAGCTAAGCTCGAAAACAATGACAATATATTTTTCTACTTTTGCAAGATTTCTGTTGTTTATTTCGTTAACCAGTGGAAAAAACTCTTGATGACAAGATATCCTGCTTCTCTTCATACCTGTTTCCTGCCAAATGGCATTTCTAGTGGGAACTAATCTATTTTTATAGTAGAGATTCTAACTCTTCAACATATCTTGGATCCACCGTCTTCTGTTCTACTTGCTGTTCTTATTGCAATTATGTAGGTTTGACTCTTTAGAATATGTGGAAGATGCCTAGATTGGTAGTGGAGCTGGTGTTGATTGGCAGGACCAGATGTTTCCGTAGAAGCTAAGCACATAACGTGTCTATTGTTGGCATTTATATGTTGTATAGTTGTACTGGGCTGATGCTTATGGATCACTTGCGGAATCCCACAAAACGGATAGGTTTGATCGGCCTGGCCTCGGGTGCTGGATCGTAGAATAATTTATTTGGGAGCTCCACTTTAATAATTTGGAAGATGATTGAAATCAATATAGGCTCCTAGACACATTTTTATACAGTAGAATGTACACTGTGATCCCCAAATTTGGTATCTTTAGTACTGTTCATAATTTCCTTCATAGTAAAAGGAATTTGGGTACTCTGTGTCCAGAAATATTAAAACGAAAACTCTTTTCATTGGTGTAATCGATGAAACTTAGAAAAAATCCGGTTGTGATCTGTTTTATGTTCATTAGAGGCAACTTTTATTGCAAATCTGTAATTTGGATGTTTCTCACTTAATCTTGTACGACATAACAATAGGGTTTGCAAGCGTAAAGTACAAAAGTCTGAATGCAATAAGAAATATGGAGATGACTATTTCTCATCATTAGCTTATAATGTATAGTCTTAAAATGGAATTTCCCATGCCCAGAAGTTCAGATTACTTTCAAAAGAATAAAGGGTATGCTTTGACATGTTTTCATTGAGCTTGTTTTGTTGAATGAGTAGTAGCTTTCGGTTGGACAAGTAATTGTATTTCCCATGTGACTTAGTCATATACGGCAGTTCTAACTTCTAGATAAAAGAATTTGCATATTACTACTTTTATCCAGGATGGGGCCGTGAGGGTGTTCATCATTAGGATATTAGCATCACTCTCCTCTAATTGCAGCAAGACTTGTGGTTTTTTGGTGACTACATTGCAATTCAAACATGTTTGTCTTCATGCCTCTTGTTGTATGGAGGAAGGGACATGGAAACATGCACCAAAATTTCATTGATGCATAGAAACAAAATTTTATTCACATTTTTTCTTTATTTACTGTATAAGAATATTATCTTTAAAAATATCTGCGCCAAATATGTACAACAATTAACTGCAGAAGCACCATTTTCACCACTAACTCTAAAATCCCATGTTTTTAGATGATATAGAACTTAATGTGATAGAGCGGGAAGTAGCCATAGATTGAAAAGAGAAGAAGCCACGGAGAGAAGCCATGACAAGAATGCCATTGCGGCAGATATCTGATATCTGATGCATAGCCTTGGAGGACAAAACGGCCCATTGGCTCTGAGCAGAAGATCAACAATACTAGCAGTTGAGCTGGCTGCGGCTAATGTGAGAATGGACAAGACCTATGTATTGAACATGAACTTAGTTATGCTTTAAAACTACTTGCATCTCTGTACAAGTATCAAAGAACAGGAATTACCGAGTCTCCTATAACAATGACCAGCAATATTCCCGACTGACGAATTGAGCATTTAACTAGGATGGAGTATCCATCAAGAATCGCCAGAGTGAAACTCCACGGTATGACCAAGCCCATGATTGTTACCAAGAAGCTGTATATTAACATGTGGAAACAGAAGAAAACTCATTGCATTTTTCAAATGAAGATATATTATTTGAGTCAGCAAATAATAAGTTGGCTAGCGTTTCTCCCCAAAACCAGAAAAGGTAATACAACTTAGTTGTATCATGCTGTTACTAGTACAAAATTTGACGAGTGAAAGTGAGCTTTTTATTCAGTTGCTGCAATTATATTAACCTTATTTTGCCATAATATTAGCCTTGTTTTGTTTATGTATGACTATTTCGTTAAATACATAAAGCAAGTTGTAATGATTCTTATAATTTTGTGGGACCAAATTCCCTATAGTAGTACTCTCCACTGATGTTGGTGTTTTATACCGTAGGTTTTGCATATTTGTTGCTCAGTTGGTACGTGTCTTGTGCTAAACGCGCATGTAGCTATGTACAATGATCTTTAACCATTAGGAATTGCATGCTAACCTATTGCAGAGGATCATGTCCTGAAATTTACCCCTCTAGTTAAATATGATGGATTTTTAATGGTTTTCTTTCAGATATATTGCCGATCATACAGTTAAATAACAGAAGCTAACTGCTGGCGCAGATGGAGATGTAAATCTACATGCAAAGATGCATAGCAGAAAGAGTTGTATCAGTATTAAAATTTACCAAAAGGCTGTATAGCTGTAGAACCCGACTCCAAAAGACATGAGGAAAAGAGAAGCTGAAGAGAATATGGCCTGGCCAAGTCTCAGAGCAAAGCTTGCACTCGTACCTATAGAACCCGGCACAGAATCCATGGCCATGTGACTTGTTTCAAGGGATCTACATTGACTGAACCACCTCAAGTAAAGATGATGATTGCCTTCTCTTGTTTGCAAACTCTTTATAGCCTTTGAATCGAATTCTAAATATTTGCAAACTCTGCATCAAACCCATCACTAAGTTCTTGAACCTAATCTACCAATCTTTGAATTCAAGAATCCTCAAGAATTTTGTTGCTTATCATGTCTCTTTTCTAAGCTTATATCTCAGTTTGGACGATTATCAGATTAGAATAGAAAAGAGTCGGTATGGAAAAAGGGAACTATGGTGGGAGAATCGTGTTACTTCAAGAATACTTGTTTTCTGTCTTGAAATGTTGTTCCTGTTGAAGATTTGGATGTATTAACTGAGTGCTTTAGTGGGATTTTGATTCATGGAATGCAATGTTTTGTTGGTTGAAAATATAGTTCAACGTCTAAAAATTGCTTTAATCATGTTGGATTTGACACTTCAATTTCCTTACCTTTTCCATTCTTTTTTTTAAATAAATGGCTATCATTAGCTCAATACCGATATTAAGACAAACTATTGTTCGTTAATGAAAAGTATTCAATAAAATTTGTTTGTGTTTTAAGTTATCTAAATATTTTTCTTGGTAGTACAAAAAAGTGTGTATTATTGCTTGTTAGAAGACAAGACAAGTCTTTAGTTGTGCAACTAATATAAATCAATCATGCTAGATGCATATTCTTGTATACGTCTAGCCATACATCCCCTTATGTGGCATAATTTAGACAGGAAAGAGAAAGATTGTTAGAAAAATCAAAGGTGATGGTAGTGACATGTGTCAGAGTGTAAAAGAAAATGTACGTAAGAGTGTACATATAGCATGGTTGAATCTAGATACGATAAATATTATAACCAGGGAATGCAAAAAAATGTACTATTGGCAGTTGACCTGTACTATCATGTATCAAAAAGAAAGGACATGAACCATCTAACATGGACCTCTTTTTAAGTAATGGATTCCTAATAGCCAAGAGTGTACAAGGAGGATTAGTGGCTAGAATCACACCTTGAATGGTATGGCATACATCTAATTTAGAATAACGCTATTCATAAATACGATCTATCATAAACCGTCTATGTGGTAGTTTCACGTGACCTAAACGACCCAATTGACTTTTAAAAAAAAAAAAATTAGTGTCGGTGACACTAAGTAATATTAAATAAAAGGTAAAATTAAATTAGTCACATATTTTTACAATTAATTGAGCATATTACATAGTGTCATATAGACCAGTTTTGTTAGAATGTTGGGCCTTTTAAGTCCTGTGGAGCACCAAGTGGAAAGACAATGACTGTTTAATAAAATTACTTTCTTATTTGACACAAATTTGTAACACATTCATATATTAGTTAAAAACATGCGCATACTCTTATGTTATACTTGATTCAAAAGAATTAGACTTGTAAAATAGATTTCTTTTGTCATGTTCAACCTCGTGTATTAAGATTTGATCTAGGTATAATATTATAGTTACATAATTTGATGCTAAGCATGTTGGATTTTCTTGACTTGTCATTACACAAGTATTAGAACAATTAGAACCAAACCATAATCGAATCGAATCTACCAATTCTGTTTGATTTGGTTCTGAGTATGTTTTAAAATGGTTCAATTTTTGGATCCTAGAAACAGTCAGTTCCAATTCTTGTTTTGATTTTAGACCAGAATCAAGAATCGAAACCATTAGAACCATTTCAAATTTTTTTGAAGGTTCTTTTAAAAAAATATTTTTTGATGACTTAATTAACCAACCCTTTCTCAATTTTTTTTTCCTTTCAAAATTTTAGTTTTGAAACTAAATCGAAAAGAACTGGATGGAACGAAATGATTCCATTATAAAAGAACATTTGCTTTTCTATTTCGATTCCATGGAATCTGAATCGAACCACGCCCAGACCTCCTACTAAGACAAGTCTGGTCAGGAAGGTAGAATGGTATCGTTCTGATAATAGCCATGCAAAATAATTATAAGCAACGAATGACAGAAAACTAAAAATGGCCAATGCAGATCACGAACCTGTTACCTTCATGTTATTAACATGACGCTATTAACGAATTGAGCTAATAGGCCATGTTGATGCTAAGTTCCAACTTTTAAGAGAGCGATTTAGCTTACTTGATTTCATAGTAAGTAGGGACGGATCCAGGACCAGATTATAGGTCGGGCTAATACGTAAAAAAATAAAATTACACGATTTTTTTTTTTACATAATTTTTTTTTTTTTCTAACTAAAAAAAATTAGTTGGGTTGACCCCCCTCCATTCGTCATTGATAGTAAGTGCTTACCAATATATTTTAAAAAGTATAAAACATATTTAAGCACGAAGCTTGACCTTATTTTCTAATTGCATTCTATTCGTACATGATTTTTTTTTTTTTACATAATTTTTTGTTTTCTAACTAAAAAAAAATTAGTTGGGTTGGCCCCCCTCCATCCGTCATTGATAGTAAGTGCTTACCAATACATTTTAAAAAGTATAAAACATATTTATGCACGAAGCTTGACCTTATTTTCTAATTGCATTCTATTCGCTTTAGGCCTCTAATCAGTATTCGGAAAAAGTGAACATCGTTTTGCAAAAAAAAAAAATTACATTAACATCGTCTACCACATCCACATGGAAAACATGTTTTAATATTTAAAAAAAAATGCTCAATATATTATTATTTGAGATGAAACTCCACGATTGACGGTTTATAATGATTATTGTTACTTTTTGATGTTTTTTGTTTGTGAAAATCATCATCAATGGAAATTCAAAAGTTATTCCTAACGAATATTGATTTCCACGGATGATTATTAAAGAAAATTTGACTGTTGGAGATCATCGACATTATTACTATTAGTTATCATCGACAATATCTCCATTAATTGACGGCCATGTCATGATGTCTAGCTGATAAGTTCTCTCTTTTTTATTTTTCCTTTGATTTGACCCCATGAAGGAAATTAATTGACTTGGTACGACAGCACGGTTTGAGATGGGTTGAACCGTGATCTACATATAATTTCCATTCTAATGTGTAAGATTGTAATCTCAGAAGTACTCAAAATTGGTTACTTTCTGATCAACTTCAATACAATATTTCTCCTCTATGATAACGAAATTTTGCTGTTGTTTGATCGGAATTGAACAAGTATAGAGTCGATAACATAATAACAGGCAGAAGAGCAGAACAATCACCCTGCGTCTCTCTCAAATCCCCAGTGGCAACTTAAAAGAGAGTGAGATCTGCGGGAGGTCCATAGACACTCTTCCATGAAAATGGTACAACCCATCTTCCGGCTTCATTGCCTGAACAAATCAAACAACGCAAGTTAGTATGGCAGCATTAGAGCGATTATATCAACACAACTATGTGGAACGCGCTTGAATTTGGTGAAATATGAAGTTTCTAGAATCTCACCCTCGGGGTATTTGGATTTTCAAGCTTCACTTGTAACAAGACGAAAGAAAATTTGATTCAAAGAAAACTAGACGGGCCATTAGTCAAGATTAAAAACTATCCAGTTGGAGATTCACACAGTTGCATTTTTTGCCAGAGAAAGATAAAAAGAGAACATGTCGAGGGCCCAAGAAACGAGTTTCCCAATCGAATTAGTTGGTTTCTTCAAGTTATTAAAATGTGTATTCATTCATCGTCACAAATCAAATAAATGGTATCTGGAAAATGTTGTTAGATAGCGAGACACATAGTAGTGAGACTCTGCTTTAAACTTAACTTCGTTACAGACCATAAGACATTGGTGAATATTTAGCTTTATAAGTTATAACTGAACTAACTTGCACAGCAGCACAGGCATAGGACGACAAAGGTAAATAACACGTCATGCAGCCATAACTAATGAAAGCAGAAAAAGTGAAAAATGCAGATGGAAGAGGTAGGGAAACAAGAAGCTGAAACTTACGATCACCAAACTCACCATGGAATTCATTCTGATTCAGCCCCGTGAGTTTGCTTGCTGCTTCAGCCAAGTGGAAAGCTTCAGGTATATTATCTCCCTCCGAGCAATAACACAGTAAGCAAGTAACCTTTAAACCTTTGGTCTATCCAAAAAATATGGCGAAATAAAATCAGCAGCGCAAATGCGTTTCAGATTTAATTATCTGAAAGACACGAATTTTACATTTATCAAGTGATTCAAATCCTATGAAATTACTATGTCAATGCCTATTTCCATGGATACAGTTATAGAAGAATACCAATATGTTATATAAATTACTTCTACCAACAAACTTTGATATGGAAGATGAAGAAAATTATCCAAGGAAAATGGATTTCCCCTATACAGAGAATCTCTGTGTCATTAAATTGTTTCATAGAGATTTCCAGATTGATCAGCTGAAGTTATCAAAGATGAGAATTGGTTGCTTATTAAAAATTTCAACTATGAAATACAATGTTTACAACTATGATACACCGACACGAACACTTGTGACCGAGACAATACGTGTTGGATACGTTGACACGTGATTTTTTAAAAAGTACCGACACAACACGTCATTGACACGTTGATTAAATTCTTTAAAAATTTTCATAGTATAAATTTAGTTTTATACTAATTATTAATTTTTCTTGTGAAATCTTTTAAATATGAGTACCTATTTGTTATTAACTAATAATTTTGAGTTAAAGATATATAATATTTTTAAATAAAAAAAGAAAAACATTTATAGTAGAGTATCAAAGGAGTGTCGATATCGACACGTGTCAGACAAGGAAATGCTACCTTAGTTGAAGTGTCCGTGCTACAAAGGTATACAGGAGGAGACACATTGTACTACTAGATAGAGGACACAAACATATATAATCCTAAAACAGTTCAAAACATGCAAATTACAAGACATGATAAATGAATAACAAAAACGAAAAATAGATACCAGAAGGTCAATAAATAAGTTTCCTTTTAGTTGCTGAAAAGTTACTTTTCAAAGTCAAACATTTATCTTAACCACACATTTCATACAGTCGAAGATGCTACCCACTTGTCCCCCACTCATTTCTACCAACTTATAATTTTAGCAACCTAAAAGCAAACTCAAACAAAGGCAAATTCTTGTAGGCTCTGTTCATTCAAGTGTAAGGGAAGCCAATGGAATGAACATCCAAGATGGGAATGGAGGAGAACAAAGGGCAACCAATATATGATTCAAATAACATGTCGTATAGCTTTTGAGAATCCCTTTTCCTTCCCCTTAACGTACTGGAATAAAGAAGATTTAAATACTCCATTTTCTTCGGTTTCCCTCCATCACTCTCAGAGTGAAAAGCCCCTCTCAAGGAGACTGATATAATCATTTTGTGAAACTCAACATTTGTCCTCGCCCCCTCAGAAGTCAACTACACCATATACAAGCCAATAGAACAGATTGTGTGAAAATAAGGTGGAAATGAGCAGGGCACACCATTGAATGAAATCTTGCACATTAAAAGTTTATTCATAGTCCAAAACAGAGATTTTGAATCACCTTAAGGCAAGAAAAGAGAGCAGCAAAAGGCAAACTTGGGTAGTAATCTTCATCTCCTAGCTCTTCAAAACGCAAGTCTTCTTCCATCGTGGAACCCCCTTCAGCTAAGGTGTTAAGATACTTCCACATCCTCTGAGAAGGATTATACTCCTGCAATCTGTGCCATCCAAGCTTTTCACAGTCTTCATCTGTTCCATCTATATTTGATGTAGAGAGGTAAAATATCTGCAAACCACTGGTATAAATCACCATGGAGTCAATTAATGTCTTTAATATGCGTTAACTAAAATGGCTCCATACAGCAGTAACAAGTCGAAAATGATTATCACATTTATAAGTTTCAAATAGTGCAAAATAAATTCTATATATCAAGTTATATTAAAAAATATGTACATTATACAGATGCTTTAGATATTTATCATCTGCAAAACAAATTGGATCATGCAATGACATTGACAACACCATTATAACAAACCAATAACTCTAGAGAAAATTTCTAGAGAACTTTTCAATGAAAGTAAAACACTCAAAATGAAAATATCAGACAGGAAAGAGTGCTTATGAGTTTGGCTGGCAGCAGGTATGCATGTCTGTTTGCCTGTCTCATGTGTGCGCGTGCGAGTGCTTTAGAGAGAGAGGTTTCCATCGTCCATAGTTCTCAAGTCACAAGGTGTCACATCTTTCAAATATCATGATTCTGGGGAGAATTAACTAAATATTGTACATTATCCTTTGCTATATATACAATATACGAAACGAAAGGCAACTATCAATACCTTGACACATCAATGGAGTGCCATCGCCCAAAATCCAAGCTGGAAAGGATGATGACATGCTTCTTCCCATTAGAGGCTACAAAATTTGCTAAATTCTTAGCATACTCTACCATCATACCCTGTTTAAGAATCCATTTCAGACATGTAAGTGCCACTACTTCTGAATGAAAATTCAGACATAACACCCCTGTATCTGCAAGCACATACGAAAGATAGCTAAAAGGCACGAGTACGTTATAAAATCCTAAAAATCCAAATTCATATGTATATGTGAGCTAGTTATGTAACCAATCACATGTACTTACAACTTATCTTGAGGAAATAAACGATTGGCAAAGGCTTGCATCAACGCTTTTTGTCACTTTTACACAGCCCATTACCATAATAGTTTGACTTCAACTCCTCATAAAAAATGTGTGTCTCATTAATTAACATGTTTCTATATGTTATTCACGAATTGACAGAAAAGCCCTAACACAGAAACATAAGTCCATTATTTAGAGCGTGTTTGGCTAAGCTTAAGAAAAAGTATAAGTCATTTTTTATCGCCAAACATGTTCTGATATTATACTTATTTCTTACTTTTAAGTGACAAAAATTTCTTACTTTGGAACTAAATCTACCTTCCTGTTAAAATAAGTTACTTATTTACTAGTAAGTGAACTTTCTAAACTTAGCCAAACATGATCTTAGTTCTATCTAACCACCAAATACTAAAATATAAAAAAGAAACATAAATGATAATAAAGAACCATTACCTTAACAACCGGAGACCGCTGTTGTACAAGTGACAATGCACTGGATGAAGACTGGTAAGCTGCCAATTTTAACCAAAATAATTACGATCACTTGCAAAATCATCAAAGTAAAAAACACTCAATAAAAGTTCAAACATAAAAATTTACAAAGAAAATTAAAAATTCAAATGAAGACCTTCGAGTGGGAGTGTAAGATCGCCAGGAGGCGAAGGCCAATAAGCGTCATTGCCAACACAAGGAAGAATATTCGGATCGTCTAGATACCCGATTTTCTCCGCTTTTAACGACGATATCAAGAGATCCACTGCCAGTTGCCCAACGTTACCAATCGATAACGCCGGCTTATAATTGAGAAAAAAAAGAAGTCAAAATTAATGAAAATAAAAACAAAAATGTGGAAATGAAGTGATATGAAGCCCTAGAAACAAACCAGAATTAAAGTGGAGCAATTATGGTCTGATTCTTTTCCTTCTTCAACATAAAACTCCATTTCCGTAGAATATGCGCGTGTTTCTGTGTTGATATTTGATTATTCGAAGTCTACTTTACTGCGTAAATTTTTGTGAAGATTGAAGAAAGCATGCTTGGAAAACAAGTTGGGCTGTAAAGGGCCCAGACTTTTTGTTCATGGGCTTTATGAGTCCAATCCAATCATTTAAAAATAATCAAATTTTATTTTCAATCGTACATTTTAGCCCTTGTTTCACAACCATTAAAATAAGTGTTTTGGGAAAAATAAGTTGGGAAGAATTCACAAATCAGGCTTTAAGTTTCACACATTCAAAAATCAGATATTAGGTTTAAAAAATGCAAAACTCGGATATTTAATTAATTAATTCAAAATAATTATTATTTAAATATAATAAATTCACAATTATACAGTTAATGGTCACAAATACATAATTATAGGTTACAATTTATTTATTGGTCACATATTATCAAATTAATTAGTCACGGATGATTTCGAGGTCACAAATTCAAAAATTTATAGGTCACAGTTAATTTCATTGGTCACATATTTTCAAATTTGTTGATCGCTGATTATTTTTCAGTCACATGTTGTCAAATTTTTAGGTCACAGTTAAATACTTGATCACATATAACCACATACTTGGTCGCATACCACTTGCACTACCACTTTAGCCACTTTTGACCACCCTTACCCTGTCGTCGCCATCACCACCTCGGTCATCAATATCACCAACAACAAACTCACCACCACCGCATCCAACCACACAATATCACCACCACCACCACCAACCAGATTCAAATCCACCACACACCACATTTGCACCACTACAATTGATCAAACACCACTGCACCACGACATTGCCACCACTGCACCCACAACATACACAGGCAAATAGGGTAAATAGTCCGATGAGCGTAGCGGATCTGTACCGTTGCGCACACGACGTCGGACTACAACGTCTCCCTCCTTTCTCTCTCTAAAACTCTTGCTTCTGACCTCTCTCTCTCTCTCTCCAGATGGTTGTCGGCGCTGCAGCCCACACACAGTGATGGGTGACAACGACTGCTGCCACTACCCATCGGCAACAGCGGCGATGATGCACAGCGAGAGTCGTCGCTGGAGCCACGAAGAGAATGAGAGAAGATGGGAGAAGAGGAGAAGTGCGACGTTTAGAGAGGGAGGGAGAGAGAGAGAGAGAGGAGAGATAATGACAGAGGGAAATGGTTGGGGTTGGAAATTGAATTGGGTGCAGATAATTATATTCATATCTGATTTTTTAATAATGAAACTTGGTCCCTAATTTTTGAATTTCAATCTTTAAACACCTAATTTATGTAATTTTCCCAAATAAGTTTTATTTTTTGAAGAATGTACGGTTAAAAGTAGAAAAAATTTTGAATTTACTTGCAGAATATTTTATTTTAACAATGAGTGATTGAAAATGAGTTTGTAAAAAAAGAAAAGTGCTTTCATCATTTATGCAGTTAAATTTTACAATATTCAACACGAATATGTAATTTTAATTTGAAAATTATGTTATTAATTCTCAGTCGAATGTCTCACTAACAGAACAAAAAGAAAAGAATCGGACAATCTGTACAAGGTTTCAGGTCTCGATCGGTTCACTAGAGTAACTAGAGCTCCTTACTATCCCTAACATTTTTTTTGTTGGCTACACTCGACTCGAACCACTGCGCTTACCCATCTTCGAGTGGCTCCATCATTTGGTATTTAAATCTTCAACTTCTCCGTGACATCCGTTCCAATTGTTAAATGGTCATGCGGTTAGCTTTCCAACTTAGGTTAGTGCTCGAAATTCTGAATTGAGGTGAGAGTAATTTCACTACTAGTCTACAAGACAAACAGAAATCGTATTCATTTGCTAGGTACTGTTCTGTAGCTTGGCTTTTCCTTATCATATATACACTTACAGCATGTTCGGTTGGGAGATTTGATAGCAAAATAAAAGTTAAAACCTTGTTTCTTATACTGTCGATTTCTGTTCAATTTTGAGTATCGAACATGCACTTATTGCCAGTGATGGGGAACGTGATAAGTCGCGAGTTTTCCTGCACTGGACATAGCAATTAGGAATACCCCTCAGGTCGCTTCATTTATCTTTATACATGAAGCCCTAGTGGATGAGGATATAGCATATCTCATCGTTTACTCTTTCTTTCAATAAAAGTTTCGTATTCACCTGCTCAACGAAGAGTATGTTGGACTAGACACGACTAATAATTTATTGAAGAGAAAAGTGAAAACATATGTTCATTATCAACATTGACAATCCTTAGAGAAAATTTACCAATTTATTTCATAAAGCAAAAATCAACTCTACATTCAATTGAGAATTAAGCAAAGAGTTTTTTTTTTTTTAATCAAAAACATCATAAAACCATCCAAATTTAGCATATTCCTCACTCGGATTCCTCGACAGTAGCTTCAATTCTGAGGAGAACAAAACCAACTGCAACTCCAACAAGAACTAATCCATTCATAATTGCAGCAATCCTAAAGATCTCAGACGCTGCATTGCAAGTAGAAGACAGAGCCCCACCACTTTTTCCTTTGCTTGATGTCTGTTTCTTCATTGAACTAACAATCTTGGCAAAGGACCGTTCAGTGCAAACTGGAAGGCCTAATGCTGCTACACTGTTATGAGCTTTAAGCCCTCCAAATGAGTTCAATCCATTGATATACTTCACCTCGGTTCTTCTCTGGGATGATCGGGCCGGACCCACGATGGCTGCAGCCGGAACCGAGATTGTAGCCGATGCGGTTGCCATTGCTTACAATCTGTAGGAAGAAGAGAAACAGATGCAAGAATTAGACACAAAAAGGTACAAGTATTCAAGATTTAATGTGGGCAACAAGTGTTGGGAGTTTTGCCTGTTGTGTGATGAGTTTAGAGATGATTTTGAATTGGTGGAATATACAGTTTGTAAGGGGAGAAATGAAAGGATGTGGATAAGGTGATATGAAGATTGGTTGGCTGACAAGAAGATGGGATGAGGCTGATTATGAAGGCTAAAAATCTTAACTTGTAATAGTGGCCAGGAAAGAGAGTGGGACAAGTTGGCAAAAATTAATTCTTTAGCTGCATAAAATGCTGTTCGTTGGGTTGGAGCGGGCGGTTGGAGAGAGGTCCATGACAACCCGCTTACACGGCTAAACCGGCTAAAGACTTTTGGCAGATCTCGTCAAGTCAGGATCCCAGTCTCTACAACCTATCTCGACCTATAATTCTATCTCTAAACAAGATGTGTTTAAAGGTCGAATGCATTAAGAGCTGTTACATGTACATGCAATTTTACAGATAGATCGACATATGGAAAAAAAAAAATGAGTTATGCTATGGGTACATAGAGGTACACATAGGGATTCACATAATGTGAGTGGGGGTGGGGCCCATGCTACAGTATCGCGGGCCTCACCCCATTCACATTATGTGAAGCTTTATGTGTATATCTATGTACAACTAGAATAATCCAAAAAAAATATGTCAAAAGAAGTGTACAGGTAGCAAAACTCGTTATTTTTCAATTTGATTCAAATTTTTTTTATCAGTCCTATGGGCTATAGTGATCAAACCTGGCATGGTCGATCTATCACCGAGCTTTTTCCTTGTGGATGACACAAGCTGATATTTTGAATTATGGATTTCTTTTCTCACTTTGGCTATTTTGGGTCTTTAATGTAGAAATAAATTGAGCGAAATGAGATTAAAAAATCGATAATTTGTAACACTTAGTTTGTTTATTTTTCTCCATGCTTGATCATGTCGAACTATAAACAAAAATAACATGGAAAAAACTTCGACGAACAAAAATTCCAATATAGGAGTATCGATTAGTGGCAAAAAACATAGCCCAAAAAAATGATCTCTAAACGTTTTTCAATATTTCTTTTCTTTTTTTTTCTTTTTTTTAACTCTAGCATAGCAAAGGTAACAAGTTCGAATATTTCGTAAAAATAATTACAGAACTCCTGTCAAGAACACATGCGAAATACTCGCACAAATATAAAATGACGTCTACAAAGATTCTAATATACATTTTTTGTACAGTAAGAATATGATTGTTTATGAAGACGGCCATGAGATGAAGTTGCAACTCATTTTTGCTGATGTTGCCATTTCTTGAAAAGTTATAACCGTAACAGCTCCCAACAAAGGAGTTAGCAGAGTAACAATTTTGAGACGGAGAGAGGAAAAGGAACAAATCCATTCTATACAGGTTCAACGCGCATCTTCTCGTGGATATCCAGCACAACTTCACGAAGCTCAGGAAAGACAGATAGTAGTAGTAGTTCTAGTATTCCATAAGCAAGTTGCTTCAAACATACAGAAGACTGCAAGTTTGAAAATTATCAAACGACTGGAAGAGGAAATTAAAGTAGAATGGCTTAATGTTCTTAAAGCAAGTACATTACACAGTAAGTACACGGGATTGATAAGACAACATTTTTTCCATCTTTACTAGTGTCCAATGATATTTAATTTACCTTACCAAACATGTCATTGAGATATAACAGGAATAGTAACAAAAAGAAGATGTATGCGGATCATTATTTATATTTCTTCTTTCCCCCATTTTTCTCTTTTGCACGCACGTGGGTGGGTGTCATGGTGTAGTGTGGGGCTCACCTGAAGGAAATAATATACATCTCTAGCGCAGCGTCTATACTGCTTCTGCCCAATCAAGCTGACCAAAGTAGTAGGAGCGCCATCTACAATAAAGCAAAACATTTCTAAATCAACGGCTCAATATACTAGGTACATAATTCTGGAACAACTATGAGCACGAAAATTTAGGAAGAAACTTTATAGATCTTTATGGAAACAAAGGTGCAAAAACAATAACAAGAAACAGATCACGATCCAGAAAACTTTGAAAGAACTTCCAGGAAAGAGAGAGAGAGGAGAAGAAGAAGAAAAGGAGCTGAATAAAAATCACAATCAAAATCCTCTTTGTTCTCAAACATCAAACGTGTATCGAGAATATCATACATAGGATTTGTAACTAGGGGGAAAGAAAAACTCACTGAAAATTATTTTTTCCACATCCCTGGCCCTGCGAGAAGCTTCAAGCTGTTCCTCAAATGTTCCCAGTTTAAAGACCTTACTCCCACCCTGTGGCCTCGTAGTTAGCTGAGATCCCTCATTTTCTTGATATTCAAGTTCAGTTCGAGTATTTAATGGCCGGAAGAATGTACCATCAGGCCAGAGAACCTAAAAAGAAGAACTCAATCAAGAAACAGGATCCAGCAAGTTCAAATGCAAAACAGGTTCCTGAAAAATGAAATTGAAAAGGAAATTTGATAGATCGGATGGATAAAAGTGAAGACATTTCACTCACGTCCTGGATCCATCGTATTCCCTGAGCAATATTATCTTCTTTCCTGAGACAATGAATTTGTCTTAATAGCCAGTCATCAATGGCATCTTCCATAATTAACTGCAGTATTTGCTTTGATATCCAAAAGACCTGCCTTCTGCAATTAACCAGAAAAAGGGAGTCTTTTAAGGAATCATATTGCATGTATAGCATTGTTTTAGTACATGAAAATCCAAGCAGTGCCAACAGAGTGTCAATCTCGAGGCAGGCAAAATTTCAAAGCTTAGCTCCATAAATTTGTAATTTCACTTTCTCTGTCTCTAACCAAATTTTTGTCCCTGTGAGGGCACAGTCAGACAACAAGAATTTGTATCCTCAAATCACATCAGAAAGATATCCACGACTCATGCTCGATAGATAGTTGATTCCTACAAATGGGTTCGCTCTTTAATGCCCAGCAAGTAGAAGTCCAATCTATTACTTATTCAAGAATCTAACATTTCACTAGGATCTGTAAGATAAAGTTCAATGTTGCTTCAAACAAGACAAATCCCATCCACAACTAAAATGATCTGTTCAAGACCAAACAATTAAATTAGGGTCATTTTGAAAATTAGCAGAATACAGATGTCAGGAATTTTTTTACAAATGTTCCTACAATAAGACAGCACTATTGGTCCATTGTCCACAAACATGATAGGTATCCCGCAAAGTTGTAATAAAGGAAGCACAATCATACAAACCCACTTCGTGTTTCATTTTCAATCATTTTCAATATCATTTATTTGAAAAGGGAAGAGAAAATAAACTGCCCAACAAATGGATACCAGTTGTCAAAACATAATTATTAAATCCAAAAAGAAAACAATAATTGAAAGAAAAAAGAGTCACTCAAATATGCTTATAAGACCAAGCCATAAGAATAGAAGATTTCCAATTCGTTAAACTAGAATTACAAAGATATCAGAAGTTCAATTGCATGTTTGCAACTACATCACCTAATATTTGAGAATTTTTTTTCTGAAGAAAGGTCTCATCCATTCCCCGAAAGAGTTGATTCAACAGCTAAGTTGTCACCAAGTCAGACAAGCTTACCATTTCATTCTAAAAGTTATTATTTCTTTGCTGATTTTCTTTTTCTCCTCTTCCATGTACCATGGTGCTAAGGAAATATTGGGTGGGGGGAAAGAGAAGGAGAAGAATATAGGTGGTGGGAGCCATAAATGCTCATTTTAAAACCATGTAATCCTTTTACAGCTCTAATGTTCCCTGCATCCTTACCAAACTATAATTACTCTTCCAAGTTCAATTACAAAGCATTTGATTATTAGCTAAAAATATTTCACAAAGACAGAAGCTAACAAAACCTAAAATCACCTTAGCCAGCCTCTTCTCTTGAGCTGAAATAACTTGTCAACTAAATTCAGAACCGGAACACTTAAATTAGGAGGCGTCCACTGCAAAGAAAAACATCAGTTAGAATTGGCATTACCGAAAACATTTATTCGATAATGAAGAAAAAGAATAAAGTATGAGGGGATGGGAGTGCCTCAGGATCTAGGTGTAACGAGTGGGGACAACCTTTAAGGCATTGGCTTTAGTCCATAGAAACAGTGCATTCATGAGCCCAATGACAAAAAAAAGAAAAGAAAAGCAGCCTCCCCAGGACCAGGGAATGATGTAAACCAGAATTAATATTTTACTAATGAAGTTGAGAAATATTCAATAGTTGGAATGGTTATGATCAATTTTCTATTCTCTATCAATCATCAATTTTTTGCGAAACGAACTCTTTACCACGTCTGAAAATAAACATCACAAACACCCAAAAATTAAGACTTTTTCAGAAAGTTACTCTAGAGGATAATAATTAGAGATTAACCAATACACATTTCAAGTATCATCTGGTTAGGAATATGTCCATATGCATAATTGGAATTAAAACTAACAACTGTACAAACAATCCGAGCAGCAGTATGTTATAAAAAATGCAGTTAAAACTTATTGAGCCGCAAAGGAGTAACTTACAAATCAATTTGTATGAAAAAGGGAGATAGAGGGGGGAAATAGGATTGCAATAATCACTCAAAGAATTACTCATGTCAATAATCAGAGTAGAAAAAGAAGAACGAATAAAAAACAAAAAAGAAAAGAGGTTATTACAAACTACTCAACCAAATGCACATTACCTCAGGAGGCACCTCTATTTTATCCTCTTTATGAACTGATGATGATGCTAAACTTGCCTCTGGAAATTTGCCCGCACTATGTAATTCAGATTGCACTCTCAAACCACCTATTGTATCAGCATCCAAGTTTTGCACATCTTCATTGCGTTTAACAACCCTTGGTGGAAGCCCATTTAAGTCCAATTCATTGTCAGAATGCCACCCATTGGCTTGTGCTGAAGAATTTACTCTCTCTGGCACATGGTTTACATCCTTTTCTTCCTCATTATCAGAATAACTGTTAATTGACTCCGGGGTACTTTGCCTCAAACCCAGTTTATGAATATCATCAGAGTTCCAGGACAAGTTCTTGTTTGTAACTGAAGAAGCTTGTTCATAAGAAGAGGATGGTAAACCAACAACTGTCCGCATTAAACCACCTTTAATCTGGCGTGCAATGTCATCCATAGCATCATCCACATTAACTGTTTGGTCGAAAGAAAACAAAAAATTATGAGTTAAGGGTACTAACACAATATTCATGCATTTGAAATTTCTTCCTCTTAAGCACCAAGACAATGTGCTGCGACCATAACTTCCAAGGCCAAGACTGATCACTTAAAGAAGTTAGTCTAATTCAGACTAACAACTAGATAGAATTTCAAGACACCTGACAACTTCCATTCTGTCTTCATCAAAAATCAAAAACCTAATAAAACTGCCATGGGCCACCTTAGATTGTAATTCACGACCAAGGTGCATATTGGGTACTTGAAGACCAATGTCCAGACTACTGACTCCAATTATAACAGAAGATAGAATCCAATAAGAGAAACCACATACCTGCCAGAGTTCTCATCACGGAAGACGATTTCTCGAACGAGTAATTCTTGAATGATGAAAAAACACAAATTAATCTTGCATTAGAAAGAAGCCGAAGGTGCTGAATTTTTTTCAGCAGAACAAATACACACCTTGGAGGAGGGGCTCAAAAAATCCCATACTTCATGTTGTTCAGCAACATTGGCAATTGATAACAGATCCTGGGAAAGGCAGTGTAATTAAAATGGCTAAAAATGGAAAGTCTATAGCAACATAGAGAGTACAAGTGACCATACTTGCAGATACTTGTCAAGCTGAATACAACGCTGATGGACAAAAGCGTCCTCTGTGCTTGATGAGAATATCCTTTTGGGAGGTAAATGCAGCGTATAATTGGGGATGTCCTTAAGATGCCGATGCAATTTCTCAAAATTTCGATATCTGCAGACAAAGCCCCAAAATAGAGCTATCAACCGAATAGGAAAGACGAGCGACCCTGATCTAACTATGAAACTAAAGTTGATCTTGCACTGAGGCTGGATTAAACTAGATCAATATACAGGACACGTATTTCAAGCAGAGAAATGTTCGTGATTAAAAATGGAAGTAACATTCAGACCTTCTTTTCACAAACCACCTATTGTTAGCATCCGTCACGGCAATTCTGTACACTGCAAAAGATTTTGAGCCATGTTTCTCAAAGTATGCTCCAATAACCTGCAACAACATCAATATATGGTCAATTATGGTGTCATCAGATGACTAAAACTAAAACAACTACATTTGACCCCATTTAAAAATTAAAAAATAGCAGAACATGAAAACTAAGGCAATAAATCCATCTCACACTATGAAGAAGGTTAGTGTTACAATAATATTCTTCTCCCGAGTAATTGATCGCGTATGTAAATTCTACAAAAGTGGAGTACAACCATTTTTGAACTACTCAATGGTTTAACAAAATCCACGTAGATGAAAAGAAGTGAGACTCTCGTATTGAAAACAGAGGAATAATTGTACAGAGCATGGATCGTGAAGCAGCTTCTATTAACATCTGGAATTACATAAGCATTTTTTAAGCTGTACACAGTCCACATACACTTCAAGAACCTGAAAAGAAAAGGAATATGAATTGTCCTACCCGGCACCTTAGTTTTGGATCATGCAGTTCCTCACTGCGGACCAACATATCTGAGGCGTTCTTGATGCTATATACATTGTGACTGCTAACATTTGGATTATAAAATTCTGAAATGATGGGAGTGCCACCTCTGCTAGCAAAAATGTCTTTCGTGTTCAGTTGAACTGTCAAATCAGAAGTACTATTTGACCTTTTAAGCTGATTTCTATTTTCACGAGGAAAAACAGAATTATAATTCTCAGATTCATCAGCAGTAGAGCCTCTCTTAGAATAAACTCCCTTATTAAGATCCTCATCAGTAAGTCCGGTATCTGGTTGAGGCCTTGGTGGTGGTTGAATCAGTGCTTTATCATCCATTCTGCTAGATATTTCAGGTTTTTGAATTGGTACTTCTGTCACTAAATCCTTTCTAAGCATGATATTGCTTTCCGAAGTTTTTGGTCGAGCAACCCGAGGAACTCCGGCAGTATTCTTCTGGAGCTTCTGTCTGTAGTTTCTTCCAATTGTCCACATGTTTTCAAGATTTTCAGGCATAAGAACTTCTGTTCTTCTCTGGGTTGCTGCCTCAAGCACTCGAGCCCATTCAGAAGGCCTCTGGTGGACAGACTCGTCCTGAATTGTATTTGATACAGAACTTCTAGAAGTGTGCGACAATAACTCCTTTTTATCATCATTTTGAGGTAGACCCATATCAGTCCCTTTTTTGTGAGCAGTTACATTTTTCCTCAAAGCAGATTCACTGCTTTGACCACGTGCTGCAGAAACGGCATTGTCATGGACATGTGACTGTTCAGCACCAGCACCCTTAAACCCCTCATCCTTGTTAGCGAGGAAAATATATTCAATCAACTCATTAATATACCTGAAAAAAGTGCCAAAATGATCGCATTCCTGAATGGACTCGTAACGTGTGAATAAAATGCATAGTTGAGCAATTGTTATCCATAAGGTGATTTCCAGTGATGTGGAACACGTAGTGTGTCAAAATTTTTAAAAACCTGAGTAGATCTTAATGGGGATTATAACTACAGATAGCACAATCTCTGTCTAAAAGTATTATCACAGATCAGGACCAAAACAACAATGAGCTATTAACTTATAAGCCCACCCAAACGTGCTCCAATGTCCTTTTGGCTTTCATATAAACCATGACTGAAAACATTAGTGAATTGAATACACGAGTTTCCCAAATTGATAATAAACTAATAACATTTGACATTAGAAAAGATGTAGAACAGATAATCTATAAACTTGAAAGTAGTATTATGGACATGGGAAGAATTACATAAAACTATGAGATTTATTAATTCAAACCAATTTATTTGGAATATTTTTATGAAAAGTGCAACATGGACTATTGCATTTTAACCTAACCTATTTAAGTTTTAAACCTGCAGAAAGGATGCAGGTCCCTTTGTATCATTAGATTTGGAGTAATTGAAAATGTTATGGACAGATAGCAAGATATGCAACCATGTTATTGTCAATTGATCAACTATTATGAGAGAAGGGTTTCAACAGAAATAGAGCAAGTAATGTTGAAGGTTAAGTAGCAAACTAAGATGATTTGTCAAATATGATTGTGGGCTTCATTGATAACATTGAAGGCCATTCACATGTTCCAAAAGGAGGCCTTCAGATGCACTGTTATATTAGCATAACCCATAAAACAATTTACATGTTGCACAAGCTAGAGAGATTAGGGGAAACGATGTGCCTCTTTGGTGATTGTTCTAGCCCACAAAATATAGCTGTCAACAATACTTACAATATCTCCATTCCATCTTCTTTTTCATATATACTATTCCGCAACATTTGTAACGATACGGGTCTCTATACCCAAACCGTGTTTATGCATTGTCCGGTTTGGGTGGGTCTATGCCCACTTACCCCATCAAGGACTTCAATCGCGTCCCCCTAGGTTTGAACTCAATACCTCCACTTAATGAGAGATTTAAGTTGAATCAAGGTACCAATAGGG